TCACCTGCTTGCTTTTTGGACCCATTTGGTTGGAAGATCTTTTCCCAGCCCTTTACCCTGAGGTAATATCAATCTGTGAAGCTTAAATATGTTTCTTGTATGTAGCAGAAGGATGGATTCTGTCTTTGTATCCATTCTGTTAGCCTGTGTCTTTTCATAGGCTAGTTAAGACCATTAATGTTGATGGAGAGTAAGGACCATTCATTGTTAATATTTGTTTTAGATTTGTTGTTGGCAGTGGTATTGTGAATATATTTGTCCTGCTTTACCCTTGTTTTCTGGTGTAGTTAGATTATCTGTTGCCTACATTTTTGTGGGCATAGTTACCTTCCTTGGGTTGGAGGTTTCCTTCCAATACTTTCTGTAGGGCTGGATTTGTAAATACATATTGGGAAAATCTGGTTTTGTCATTAAATATCTTGTTTTCTCCATCTACAGTGATTGAGAGTTTTTCTGGGTATAGTAGCCTGGGCTGGCATCTGTGGACTCTTAGTACTTGGTAGAATATCTATCCAGGACCTTCTGGCCTTGAGGGTTTCCATGGAGAAGTCAGGTATAATTTTGATAGGTCTGCCTTTCTATGTTACCTGTCCTCTTTCCTTCACTGCTCTTAATATTCTTTCTTTATTCTGTATGTTAGATGTTTTGTTATATGTCGGGGGGTCTTTTTTCTTTGGTCCAGCCTGTTTGGTGTTTGGTATGCTTCTTGTACTTTCATGGGCATGTCCTTCTTCAGATTAGAAAAGTTTTCCTCAATGATTTTGTTGAATATGTTTTCAGCACCTTTGAGCTGGGCTTCCTCACCTTCCTCTATGCCTATTATTCTTAGGTTTGGCCTTTTCACGGTGTCCCACATTTCCTGGATGTTTTGTATTAAGGATTTGTTACATTTACGATTTTCTTTGGTCCATCAATCTATTTCTTCTAGTTTATCTTCCGTGCCTAAGATTTTCTCTTTCATCTCTTGAATTCTGTTGGTTATGCTTGCATCTATAGTTCTAGATCATTTGCCCAGTTTTCTATTTCCAGCATTCCTTTGGTTTGTGTTTTCTTTATTATCTCTATTACAGATTTCAAGTCTTGAACCGTTTCCTTCACCCGTTTTTTTTTCTTGGCTTTCTGTAATTTAAGAAATTTGTTCATTCCTTCCCATTGTGTTTGTTTTTTCTTCCATTTCTTTAAGGGATTTTCTCACATCTTCTTTGAGGGCTTGTATCATTTTTATGATAATTTTTAAGTCGTCCCCTTCTGCTTCATCTGCTTTGTTGTTGTGTTCCGGTCTAGTTGGTGTAGATTCCCTAGATTCTGGTGGTGTCATGCTTGTCTTTCTGTTAGGTGTTTTCTTGTATTGCCATCTTCCCATAGCATCTTCAGTAGGTGTTGGTGGGGTCTCTCCCTCTCTCTATGGTATTCCCCGGGTGGGCTTAGGTTAGTCAGTGGTTAGATGTCTGTAGCTCTGGGTGGTCCAAGCTCTCTAGGAGGTCTCTCCACAGGCAGGGGCCTGGCGATGGGGGTCAAAGATCAGGCTCCAGCAGAGGACTGGCAATGGGAGTCAAAGTTCTCCAAGGCTGGGACTCAGGATGTTCCTTAAACTGATAGGCAGATCTAGCCTGGGCCTGGCACTTTCCAGCTGAGGCCTCTTTGGCAGAGGCCCTGTAATGGGGGTCAAGGATCCAGCCTGCAAGGACTCAAGAGAGGCCCTGTGGAGATAGGCAGATCTTTGGGAGGGGCCCCGAGGGGTCAGAGACCAGGCAAGTGGAAATTATGGGTGGTCCTGTGTGGATAGGCAGGTCTAGTGTTCTCAGAGCAGTTTCAGGAAGTTCCCAGAGGGTGGCTGGATTGTTGGCTCCACCCTCTGTCCCAGTACTCAACCAGAGTCTTGGGACAGTGAGCAGGGTAGGGCACAGGGTAGGGGGAGGGCAGGGTCTCGGTGGAGGTGGGTGGGGGTGTATCAGAGATCCAAGAGCGTGCTCTCGATGGGAAGAGGACACAGGGGCAGCAAGATCCGGGACCAACCCAGGGAGTTCCAGGGGAAGGGTATAGGGGAGAGTCCACCCTAATTGGTCCCAGACTCAACCTCTAGCCAAGGCCTGGCGATGCGGGCTAGCTTTCTTTTCAACATAATTTGCTATGTTATGTTTCTAGTTTTTGCAGATCTTTTTATCATGAAGGAATTTGAACCTTTGTTAAATGCCCTTTTCTGACAACACAGAAATCATGTGGTTTTATCTTGTCTTAAAATGTCATACTACATTTGAGTATTTTGGGTTAGCTTTGTATCGAGCAAATGAACTTAGTTATGTTATGCATGATATTCTTAATGTGTTCAATTTTGTTGAAAAATTTTACATCTATGTATGTCCATTGAGATTGGTCTATACCTTGTATTTTCTTTTTGTCCTTAGTTTTGTTATCATGACAATGTTGCTCTACTGAGTGAATTTGGTAGCATTTTCCCCTTTCACCGGCACAGTTTGCAGTTTAAGAAGTGCTGGTTTTAGCTCTCCCTTAAGTCTAATAGAATTTTAACGGCAAATTTGTTTTCTGCTTATTTATTTATTTGCATGGATAGTGTTGCCCAATATCATTATTACACACACAAACTGAGAATTATCACAACAGCTGAGAATATATAATCCACAGCTGTTGGAAGTTTGTAGATCAGTTAAATCCAACTGATAGAATATGCTCTGAAGTTTTTGGGGTTTCTTTGCTGAAGTTTAGTTTGGAAGACCCATTTAAAGAGGTGAGTGGATTACTTAAGTCACCCACTCTCAATGTATTATGATCTATTTTACCTTTATGCCTTTATGGTGTTGGTTCTGTGAAACTGGAAGCTGCAGCACTGAGTACAGAGATTCTGTCTTCTGCATTATCTGTAAGGGATGTTAATTTTTCTTAGTTGTTTCCATTTGAAGTCTACTTTACCAGATTTGAGACTGGCTGTGCAAACTTGTTTTTGACTACCATTTTCTTGGTAAGTTGATTTCCATCTTTTGACTCTCACAATAAAGTCTTTAAAGACGTCACAGACATCTCAGCTGCAGTGTGCTTCTGAATCTAGCCTGTCTGTACCTTTCACATGCTGAACTGAGACTACTTGCATTTAACATCATTACTGAGAGGTTGCTATTTCCTATTTTTTTTTTGAGGGGTGTGGACTAGTTATTTGCTGGCCTTCTCTGTTAGACTTGGTGTATGACTTCCCAGTTCTCCTTTGCTTATGGACTCCTTTCATGAAGTATTAGTCTTTTCTGTGCCCTGGAGATAAAACTGTCTTCTGTGTAGTTTTCTCCTAAGTATTTCCTTCCTGCTGGCTTAAATCAAGGTGCTTTTCTTTGTACTTTTCTTGACATGTTCTTACTTCTCTAGTAATTTTAGATGCTTTCTCTGGGTATACCAATGGCTGGCAGATATGTATAGGGTTTGAAATACATCGTCCAATGCTTTCTTTAATTTTATTATTGACAACAGCAGGTATTATTCATATGGTAAACATAAGAGTTTTACCCTTATGGCACTTTGGCACTAAACATTTTGGGGGGGGAGGGCTTGGCAGTTTTACCATGTTGATTATGGCTTTCTTGGATCTCTGATTATATCTACATGGGACTTTATATGCCTCTTTCGTTTGAAATGTCCAGTTTCTTTCCAGATTTGTGGAATTTTCTGCTATAATCTGATTGTATAAAGTGTTTCATCCTATTCCAAGGTATGCCTACCAGGAGACTGCTCTCCTCTCACAACACTTCTGATGCCCTTGTGTAGTCTACTCAGGCAGCAGTGAATGTAGTGCCCTCCAAGTAACTTCCTGGTGCCTGTGGAGAGTGTGTGCCACAATTCTGTCTCCATCTCGGCAACTCCTTCTGTTCAGGCTTTCTGTACACACTGCACTCGCTCAACCTAGTTGCACTTCCACAGCTTGGGTGGCTCTTTCCAGGTTGCAGCTCTAACCCTGACTGTGTCTGGGGGCAGGTAGAACACTCCTTGGTAGCTACTGCTGAACCTGTTCTGGTGTGAAAAGTATGCTTTTGTGTTTTGTGTGGAGAAAATTCCATTAAGGCTGATTGATTTCTTTAAGTTTTCCCTAATGGGGGACAGACTTTTTTTTTTTTTTTTTTCAAATCCTGACTCTTCTACACTAGTCTCATAGAGATGGTTTCTAATTGGTCCTCTTCCCTGCAGTCTTGCTCTTTGAGATCTTTGTGATTCTGTTTGTTGAGTTAACTGACCAAAGGCTTGTGTTTGATGTGCCTGCACCCAGGAAACTTCTTAGCATTTGTATATTTTTGACATTTTGTACTCAGGTATTCCATTTTGGGGGCAAACTATAAAATATTTCCTTTACACTTGTAGGCAGCACTAATCTTTGTTGTTGGATCTTGTGGAGAAGGAATAGTTCTTCATAGTACCCATTTTATTTTCTCTGAGTAACAGACTATCTCAGAAGGTTTTAGCCAATTTATTCAGTTCTTAACACAAGACGCTGCAAAGATAATTTCTAAATTTAAGTTAAAGTAATCTAAAACACAGATGAAAACAAGTAGTATTTAAATCTTAATGTCCACAAACCTGCATCTTATATTGCTGTGAGGTAAAAATCTAAACATTATTTTTACTTTGACAAATAAAAGTACTGAAAAACACTTTAAATCATCTAAAAATGTGTATGTGCCCTGATGTTGTCCAATAGGAACACAAAGAACAATATTCTAATAGTATCAACAGTTTGTGTGTGTAAGCAAGATTTCAAACCAGAGTTTGTAAATTATACCTCAGATTAGAGCCTTCTGCTAGTTCTACCAGAACAATTCACAATGTACAAAGATAATTTTCAAGGGCTTTACTGTATTTAAAAAAGAAATAATGCAACATGAAGGCAGCTCATTAGTAGAGGAGGGCTCAGAGAGAATATCACAGACCTTGAGAGATTTCTTCCTTTCACAGGGAACTTTGCTTATGAGAAGACCTCATAACCAAAAAGGAAAGAAACTGAAGCAGATGCTTTACCCAAATTTATTATTCACAGTATAAAAATTACTGGAGTATTAAAAAAAAAACAGAAAGAGCTTGTTTGGTTGACAAATTAGAACCTTCTGATTCAGTGTATGACATGCAGAGTAGACTAAAAGAATATAGTTACTAATAATAGATTGAGTCCTCATTAAAAGTAAATTTCTGCTTTTCTAAAATTTAGGTAGAATTGTGTGTGTGTGTGTGTGTGTGTGTGTGTGCGCGCACATTGCAGAAATACAATTAATAACATTTGTGAAAGTGTTTTTGTCATTCCTACATACCTGGAGCAAATCTGTTTTTCTAGGTTCTGAGTCCCTTAGGAACAGTGGTTAAATTTATACAGATACCAACTCATTAAACTTCAAGAAGTCAGAGATATAGTAGTCATGAGAAATGTAATACTTCATAAATTACCTCCAAAGCACAGATATCCTGGTGTGTATATAAAGTCACTTAGATCTCTCATCAGAATAGTCTAAAAATGAAAGAAATCTCATATACAATCAAATTGAGCTTATTTTCTTTTGGCATATGAACAAACTAGTCCATATCACTCCAGGAATACAATGAAAAACCAATGTCTGGCAAACTGGTAAACAAGATCTAAAAATATAAAAAAAGGAAAATCAATTTCACTATTTTCCCCTAGAAAAACTATGAGTAAAAACTTAAGGCCACAACTCATTATGTTTGAAATGTTCAACTCAAAGGGAGCTCAGGCTTGCTGAGCAAAAGAACTCTCCGCAGTCAGTGTTTCTCTGTGGTACTATTAACTGCAGGATGACATTTTATTTAACAGATAGCATGGACTTTGTACATGCCCATTATCAGTGCCTTGAAAACCAAACAATTTAAAAGTTAGCAGCAGTTTCTGCAAGGTACAAAAATACACATTTGTTACATAACACAGTAATAAAATTTGTCAAGATATATTATACAAACTCATATCATCTGAGATAAAGAATCAGTCTAATATATTATAGATGGAGTCTAATAAAATGACATGTCTGTCTTCAAATCATACAATACTTTACAGCAATATTAACAGACTATTCACATTAAGAATCATGGGAGCATCTAAGGAAAAACAGAGTCGGAATGGTGGGTGGAGAGCTTTACCAACTATTTTCTTCTATGCTTTAAACTGGGTGGACAATTTTCTACTGGCCATTATGGGGGAAAAAAGCCAGAATGCGTTAGTTTGTTCAGGAGGCATTTCTTCCAGACACACATTCTAAACCATAGGATCGTCATTCACATCTTGCAGTTCTGACAGTAGTATGCCCTAAAGGGAAGGGTCGTCCTGCTAACTATATAGTAATACCACAAAAGATACACGTGGATACTTAGGAGTCTTCATATGGAAGTGGGTGGTTACAAGGTGGGCTCTAGTTCACAGCTGATTGAGATTGCCAGTGTCATGAAGGAGCTCTTTGGACACAGAGTTCTAAAAGTTAATTATGGTTAGGGCAAACAGGGCCATGCCCCTGAGAGGTAGGTGGCACTTCTATAATTAATACATATATAGGTTCTTATTCTACAACTGATAATGCAATGTTTGGGAGAAGGGAACAATATCTGCCATGAGTTCCAGGTGACTTGTAGGGAAAATAATTTGGGATAAGCAAGGTTTTGAGTGAAAAGTCCTTTTTATAGTAGATTCATGAGATTACAGACTCTAGGAACTTTTTCATGAGATTACACAGACTCTAGGAACTTTTAATAGGTGAGTATCTCAAAGGAGGATACATATATAATTTAGGATGTGTCCCTTCATTTCATCTTGGCAGATAAGATCTTCCTCCTAGGGAAGGAGACATTCTGGTGTAGCCTTGATGGTAAAGAGAGAGATGTCCATGATAAACTTCTGGGGTCTAAATTTTTAATATTTATAAACCACAAACCATTTGGAAAAGATGGCAAGAAAATCCAAAGATAGTGAGCATCAGAGACAGCCCAAACAGCAACATTGTTGTGTATTCTACTTAGTAACCTTACATTCTGTCAAGCTCCAACCAATGACAATCTATAGAATGAGAGGATAATTAACAATTGTCCTTTTGCCCTTCTTGGCTGGCTGTATTCTAACAAGCAGTGCAGCAGAGGAACATCTCCACAGAGATGCCATATTGATAAATAATACCTGTGGATCCAGGAAGGCAATGTTGATGCAGGGAACTACCATTAATCAAAACGAGGTGTGATTGATAGTCAGTGGCCCTTTCTGTGACTTCTTAAGTATTGAAGGATCCAACTTTCTGATTGGATACATCTCTACATGCATTTTCTTACTGATGTCAGCACAATGAGAAGCCTTTCTCAATTACATAAATGTTGCTACCAACACTGCACAAAACATGGCATCTTTAGTTTCTCTGCAGCCCTGCCTCTAACATGAGTCAGCCCGGGAAAATTGCAAAATCATTTCTCTAATTCTTATATGGCTGTTTTTTTCTAACTACTAGAGCAAATGTTGTCAGCAGTGCCCTTTCTAAATAGGGATAAGATACATCTCTGAAACACACTTTTTAAGCACAGGCACTGTGTGGGAAGGCCACCAAAGTGAGCAAACGTTTCCTTCTTTGTCTTTATAGCTACACTTCTGAAGGATGTGTGTGAATAAATTCAACCATAACAGAGAAACAAACAATTCACCAAGCCACACAATTACAAAGCTGTGCTGTCATGGTACCCATTGCTCTTTACACACTAGTTTTTCTCTATTCTGCCTTTATCAATGAGCTGGTCCTTGAAATGACCCTGTGAAGACACATGACTAGGACAGGTCACTGCCTTCGATTCAGGGACAGGTTTTAGATGATTTCCTTAGTGACTGGACATGATTTTCTGCATGACTCAGTAGCTCCTTTTCTTGTCTACTTGTTCCATGGCATAAAGATGGCATCTCTACTATTCCCCTGTGTGTCGCTGATACATCATTTAAGGTACTTTGGTTCTTCAGGACAGTGGACTCAGACTGCTGACACAAGGAGGCTTAACTTCAGATGATTAAATTTTTTAACCAAGTTTTGCCACATAATCTCAACAAAGAAATGGTCATGTTAGCAATGATTGTCCTTGTGCTACCTACCCCAGGGGTTTTATGAAAGGGATCACACTAATCACTCTTCTCATTTTATTAGCCCAGTTCCTGTCCTTAAAGACACCGGATTGTTTATTTTGATATCAGAGTGTTATTGCAGGTAACTGCCTTTGGTTAAATGTCTGTCCCCATCATCGCAAACTGTTGTAGGCTCTGTGTCTGGGCTGGCTGCATCCTCCACAGTCCCAGGATTTGCTGAGGCTCCTTCCCAAGGGGTGTCAGAAGGGTGCTGCGCTCCACTCTCTTCGTCCTCCTGCAACTTCACACAAAGCTTGAGCCTGCTTTCCAGCAGGTGCAATGGAGAGCTGGAGGGGTGCTGTGAGTCCTGGCAGGCATAGGAACTGCACCCATGGGCTGTCTGTATGGCTCCAGGTCCTTCAGTTGCCCTTGGGTGTATGCCACCCTGACTCTCCTGCAGAGAGTCATCCTCTGGAGTACCAGAAGCACGTAGAGCTAACTCCAAAGGTTCTTTCGGAAAACTGAGTTTCCTGTCTTCTGGTATGGCTGCTTTTGTTTTCTTTTTGAGAGACCAGTTTTTCAAAGTGACCAAACCACTTCTCAACCATGCACTGGGGTGCAGAGTTACAGAATGCATTTGTGATGGTTGCTCTATGGTTCCCTTTCTTAAATAAGCTAGATGGCTGCTGGCCTGACCCATGGAGGGACCATCCATTCCAGATACGAGACTGGGAAAGTCAGAAGACAGCTCTTCCTGTTTTCTCTGAGCCTGAAAAGTGCAATCTATTGGAGAGGAGGTTTCGGTGGGTGTAAACACAGAGTGTTCAGAGATCTGAGAGAAAGCGCTGTCCTGGGAGCTTACTGAGGAGCCGGATGGAGACGTGCCTGGGGAGGATAAACTAGAATAGCTAGCCCTTGGGCAAAGGGTTAGTCTTGGGGGCAAAATCTTCTCAGTGCTTTGGAGTGTGCCACTGCTCTTGCCCACTTCAATCCCCATGACCAGGCTCTGGTTAATAAGTTTTTGTCCTTCCATCTGCAAAGACTTGTGCCTTCTGAGATAATCCTCTTCTCCACGCAAGAGGCCCATCTCACAGCTGGGTTTATGTTGTTGCTTGGAATAGATCCCCCTGAGATAGGACAGTTTGCAGGTTTGGTCATCTATGCTAGGTTCTGAACAGCGCCGATGTACCCGTGAACTCTTCCTGGCATCTGCTGTGGGTGGTGGGGAGAGTCTGCAGGTATCTGCATCCAAGGGTTGCTTCCTGGAATGATCCTGGGAGGACATGGGACTGTAAGAGGCCACAGAAATAGCCACTGGCTTAGACTTAGTGAAAGTTGTCACTTGATTTCCTTCATGACCAGACAAGCTTTTCCTCCTAATGTTTTCATTAGTAGCATTTTTCTTGCTGATGTCGGTACCTGTGACTGAACTCTGTTTCAAACATGTCTTGCCACCTTTTTTCAGGGGCTGGGTCTGCTTTAGATAATCCTCGTCCTTCCGAGAAAGCACAGCATCACAGCTGGACTTGCGTAGCTTTTTCTGGTAAAACTCCCGAAGATAGGAAAGCTTTGTGTCTAGGTAGTCAATGCTGGGTTCGGAGCAGCGCCGGTGCCGCCTCAGGACTTTTGGGGCATCTGCTGCAGCTGCAGGCAGGCAGCTGGGGGTACCTGGTCCCACTGGGGTTCTACTGTGCTCCCCCAGGGAGACCTTCCTGTAGGCTACAAAAACATTCACTGGCTTGGATTCCAGAGGTTGTTTCATTTGAATGTGTTCATCTTTAGACTGATCTAAGTCAAAATCACTCAGGGTTAAAAGGCCTTCCACCTCAGGCTGTTCGAGGTCATAGTCACTGAGAGTTAGGACAGAGTCCATGCTTCTGCTACCCTGGCCAAGTTTTTTCACCAGGTCACTGCACGGAGCATCAGCATCCTCATTGAGTTCATTTTCCAAGCTGTCGTAGGAAGAGTCGTTCATTTGGAAGCAAGACATATCTGTGGACAGCAATGAAACCATGGTTAACATTCTTAGATCCAGCTCGGGCTGCCTTTTGAAAAAACCATGCAGGTTCTGGGTTATTTTCATGTGTAGAGTTCTAATTTCTACCTTCATAAGGAAAGAATCTTTAAAAAAATGTTTGTTGGAATAGTGGTGCATCCCTTTAATCCCAGCACTTGGGAGGCACAGGCAGGCAGATCTGAGTTTGAGGACCGCCTGATCTACAGAGAGAGTTCCAGGATAGCCAGGGCTACACAGGGAAACTCTGTCTCAAAAAACTTTAAATAGAAATTTAAAATTCTGTATGTGGAGGGAGTCAGCAGCACATGAGACCAAAGCATGCATGAGATCAGAGGACAATTTGCTGGAGTTAGTTCTTTCTTTCCAACATGTTGGTCCCCATCGACAGGCAATCAAACCCAGGTTGTCAGGCTTATTGGGGAGTAGTGGTGTGGGTAAGCACCTTTATCCACTAATCCATTTTAACTGCCTGGAATCTTCCTATCATCTCAACTGTTAGAAGATTTTTGGCTTCAGAACTAGGTGTATGAATGCTGGATTCTTCTCAGCTTATAATGAAGTCACTTTTCTTCAGGTAAAAGTTTCTCAAGGCAATTGATATGTCATAGAATGAAGAAATAATGGAAAGTAAATGAGCTAGTGTCACCAGTCTCTGTGAAACCTTTCCTAAATCCCTTTAAAGTTAGTTCATTTCTTTGACTCTTAGGATTATTGTAAAGATTAAACATTGTTTAAGATGAAAGAAAGAAGCATAATAGTAATTGGTAGCAAGGAATTAATATTCTGGAGGTTGTACGGGTCACAGCATACTAGAATGCTGAAGTCTTAAATCCACTAGGATCGGTGGAGGGGAGCAGTAAGAAGCACCCCAAACCAGGACTTCCTCTACTTCTCTGGACCTTTGATTCTAGTTTCAACAACACAAGTTCCAATAATATAGTAGCGTTCCTCCGTTAACTTAAAATTACGATTCAAATCTTCAGTATATAACTTGTAGGCATGGCTTGTCCCGTGTACATCTGAAACCCACTACAGTGACCTATCATCAGGCCTTCTGTGAAGAAATGAAAGCCCTAGGTCCCACTGACCCAGATCAGAGGCTCTGGGACAACCAGTCTCCGTGTCTTCATAGACAAATACCTAGTTCTTATAAAAAGCATTCTTCACAGTACCTGAGGTGTGTTCTCTACTGTCGCTGCTCTCAGAAAGTTCCCCTAAGAGAGAAGTGATTTCTTCTCCAAATATCCTACAGCAATTTTCAATCAGAAATTGTATAAGAAGGGAAACCTGTGCCCAATGAAAAGAATTCAAGCGTTATTTATATAACTCTTATGTCACATTTCATATACACATCCTGATCTTAACCACAAAAAGCAAAAGAAGAGAAGAAAGTATTCAAAGGGCACGAAAGCCCCACTGCTGATGAATAATGCTTTAGAGCATAGTTTGGGCACAGAACTGATTTTAATCAGCAGACTGTAATTATCTATGATTTTGCTGTAACCTAACATTTTATATATTACTACTTCCATCTTTTAAATTAGGACAGTTTCAAGCATTCTCCCTCCATAGGGTGTTTGGGATGGGAGAAACATACTTTGTTATTAAAATTTATCGAGTATCAATAATAAAGACTTACACAAGGATTTCCTTGTTAAGGGCAAGTGGCTGTAATTTTGAAAGAGGGCTCCTCCGTGGGGACAGAAGGAAGAAGAGGGACAGGCAGACATCAAGGAAACTATTCTGGCTAGTCTCAGCATGGCTCCCTTCTCCCCTCCTTAAGTGGAGGTATATATGGAGAGAGGAGCATTTACAAGGGGCTCTATGCTGCCTCTGAGGTAGGCAGGAACGGACCTATAGATTCTTTGCCTCAGCAGCAGAGACGTGCTGTGAATGAAAGGAACTGTACCCAAAGCCCCAATCAACAGCCAGGCCCTAGAGGGGTGGGATCTCACTTTCTGCTTATTAAAAAAGGAATCACAGTAAGGAACTTCTCTCAGGATTGCTGTCTGGCATATGTTGGCACTGAGAACTGAACTCTGGCTTTTCTGAACTCGGAGGCCCTGGTTTTTTTAAAGGAGTGCTTCCTTACTACTTGTGCTCTGAATCAGTCCTACTCTTCAGCTTCCTTAAAAGGAAAAGTGAAGTAGCAATTGATTTTTATAATATATAAGCTATATATAATTGCTATATATTACCAGGACAGACAGGTCAATAAACTCACACAAGGAAGTCTACTTAGCTAATTCATAAACTGTTTTAGCACACTGTTAATTTCCAATGTTTCAAAACAGGGAACTAAGGACTCAGGTCATAAAATGAAAAAAAATGTCATTACCTTTTTTGTAAATTCATTTTCTAGTTCTGGGCTGGAGGAAGTAGGAGGCCAAAGAATGCTTGGAGCGATACACACTGCTAAGTTAAATGCAGTCATCTGATTAGATAAGGAATGCTGTTCAATGTTGTGTAATACCCCAAACAGATACCTTAGGAAAACAACATTGGCTCGGGGAAGCTGATCTAATAGCCTAAAGACAGAAAAATGCAGGACGTTTTATTAAGAAACTGATAAAGACAGGCAACCCTCACTTCACCTGCATGGGGAACCATGCAGATCAAACAGGCAAACCAAGAGCACAGTGCAAATATTCAAGAGTTTCAGTTGACGGGTGGCAGTGTGTGGAACAAGAGGTACATAGACAGTAAGCACTGGCAATTATTTCCATATCTTGTCTTCATAAGTCAATGAAACTGTAGAAGAATGCATGCAGTATGTTGCCTGTTTTAGTTCCAAGAAAAGTAGTACACTGTGTTTTAACTCAGGCAACTCCTGCAACATTTTGTAATATTCCCAAGCAAACCCACAAAAGGCACCCTGATAAGACTGAAGCACTCATTTGCATCCAAGCAGGGAGGCAGGAGAGCTATTTCTTGGTGAGAACCCAAGTCTTTGCCATGAGGACTTCCATGTTTTGGGAGACATGCTCTTCCATCCAGATCTCAAAGGTAGTTGTTCCCCAAACCTATCATTCTCATGTTAGTTAAGCTTGAAAGTATTATGTTTCCCACTGTTCTCATTTTATGTGACAGAATGTTTTAAATAATTAGTCACCAAGAATTGCTTTTACTACTACCCAGAACATGCCATGCATGCACACACACACCCTCACACATGCTCACTCCTCTCCCCTGCCATGTGTGTTCCTTTTTCTATAAGAACCTACAACTTGAGGAAATAAGGTACTTTGACACCAGTTACCCAAATAGCATAAGTCTTTCTTCAGTACAATGAGATGAACTTGACTCCAAATCAAAGACCCTGAAACCAACCAGAAGATGACTGGCTGTATTCAGTAGGAAATGAAGCATCTAAGGCATGCTTTCAGATTGTCTGATTCTGTAAGGGGCACTAAGCCCTTGGGCTACATTTCTCTATTGAGTAGTAGATAATTGATAGCAGTGTACCCAACACTTGTTCTATGGAATTAACTTCGGACAGAAGGAAAACTGACTGATCAGCATCCTTGGCTCAGAAGAAAAGCCAAATTTGTGTCTGTCTGTAAATTTGCACCAGTACTTCTGACTCTGTCACTAAAAGCCGGGGTGTTCTATAATCTATGGTGAGTTGGTTATATGGAACATCTTACTGGTACTGTCATGAATTAACCTAAACCTTTTGTTTACCTAATTTACATAATTGTCATAATTTCACATTAAAACTAAACAAGTGACACTTGGCATCCGAGCTTTTTATAAACTAGATTACATTTTTCTAATGTGTACTTCTTTTATACCTATTCTCTTACAATGCAGGAAATATTCAGGAACATGAGGTGATGGATTCTACACGGAATCTCACTGGTTGGCTTTAGATATTACAGGTTTTTTGGTTTTGTTTTTGATTCTCACACTGTAGCCAAGGCCAACATGCAACTTGGCAGTAATGTTCCTGCTTCAGTCTCCTTAAGTGTATGAGCCATCACACTTGTTGTCTCAGACATTTTTTTTTTATTTATAATGTGAGACACTGAAAATCCCTTTGCTAAGATAATTCTCAAGGACTTAACTGCCTTCCTATGGTACTCTCATCATACACACCAAATGCTTTTTTTTTTTTTTAAAATAGCAATGGTTATACTGCTTGCTGTACACATCCATTTTACCTATCTATTCTACCAGACTTGTGGCTTCCTGGAGAGAAGGGAATAAATAGTTCATGTTCTCCGCATGACTTCAGTCACCAAATGAATACACAGAGTCATCTAGTACGGTAGATATTTCCCCTAAATGAAGATCCAGCATCCAATGGATGAGTGAATTTCAGCTCCTATCAATTCAGATAACTAGAGGTATACAATATAATTATACCATGTTAATAAGATTAGGGAGAAAAGGCTTGGGGTGTGGTTCAGTGGTAGAGTGCTTGCCTGGCATGCACAAGGCCCCAGGTTCAATCCCTAGCACAGAGGAAAGATAAAGTAATGAGAAACAAAATGAGAAACAACTTAGTGGCTACTGAAATGGCTCAGCTGGCCCAGGCTCTTGCTGGCTAGGCTGATGATTTGCGTTTGATCTCTAGGACCTACTTATGGTAGAAGGAGAGAAGTGAGTTCTGTAAGTTACACACACACACACACACACACACACACACAGCAGCGACAACAGAAGTAGCAAATGTATAACTGTATAACTTGTATCCCATGTATCTGTTAATAGCCATTTTACCAGAAAAGTTTACAACATGCAAGTGTTTTAAAGTATTTTTCAGATTGAAAATCATTACCTTTGAATTATATTAATTTTTTCTTCATCATTTCCTTGATCCATTACACAGACCCAGTGATCATATAGATCAGATGAGAAAATACTTTCTGGTATATTTCTCAGAAAATCCTAGATGGGGGAAAACAAAAACCAAACATGTGAATCATCTCATGCAAAATGCATGTTGAGAAAAGGATCCTGTCAACTCCACTGAGCTGTGTGTGTGGAAGAGTATGAGTTGACATGTTTTTAGGGACAGACTGGAGTAATAAATTCTGGACTACTGTTGAAAAAATAAAAGGTACTTTATTCAGCGGAAACTAATGTGATGGGATATAGTGGTATACCACCTCAAATCCTTCCCAGCCCTTTGTTTAAAACAGCAAAAATTATCTGTGAGGTTTGTAATTTTGCAATCATTCATCCCACCCTCTAAATCTTACTTATAATTGCTGTGAACTGCTTGATGTACTTGGGATATAGAAATGAATCAAACAAGTGGCTATGACCTTAGAACATTATATTCCAGTGTTGGCACACAATGACATCAAGTTATCCCCATGGATGGAAAGGCACTTAATGTACTTGAGGGAAGAAAGCCATCCAATAGCTAGGCTCCAAGGGCCAGGGTCAGTCAGCACTGTATGCCTTGTGTATAGTAAATATCCACTTTACATTATCTTTTCTGCTAAGACCACTGGAGAAGGGAGTACCTTGTAGAGCATTGGTTCTGGACCACCTGTCTGTATCTCTTTTGGAATGGCTCTAAAAAGCTAAGCTTGCAGTCTGATCTCCACCCAGTCAACACCAGGCAGGGAGAGCTCAGTTTAGTGAGGAGGCTGGCTATCTTCCCAAGTTCCTGTTTACACCACAGAGACAGGTGGAAGTCTGAAATGAGGCATTTTAAAGTTGGAATCACTATCTCTGCAGCTTTTTAAAAGCCAACAGACAACTTGATGCTCCTGTATCACAGAAGCTCTGATAATATATTAGGATGAATTTATTAATTATGTGGGACTCTTGCTCACTGCTTATGGATCCCCTTGGGACAGCAACAGACCCTCACCCACTTTGCATATTACAATGTAAAGTGTAAGTCAGCACAGCAAAGGCTGTTATTGATCAGCTATAAATTTGTCAAATGAACTATTAATAGGGGACCAGGGAAACCTATCAGCTGTAACCACATGTCAAGATAATTTTACAAACTTTGTAGTTGTGCTGCCTACTTCACTTTCTTTCCTTCTCACTTGCGAGTTAAAAAAGATTGATTGCTTCTGCCTTCCTTGGCACCTGTCTTTCAAATACAGCCTCACAAAAGCTGCCTCTAGATCATTTTGGGCTGTGGCACTGCAGAGTTAGAAGGGGTAAAATCTATTATTTCAAAAATGGGCTGGCAATTAGAAATCTCATTTTAAATCTCAGTGGAAAAGACACTTGTGATCAGTCTTAAAAAGAAACCTCATTAAATCTTAAACCCGTGCTTGAAAGATAACTTGCAGTGTAACAATGCTCTCTCTCCCACAGCTGGAACAACATGTTAGGAAATTCAGACATCACAGCTGAGGAGGATGGGAGTCGACTCTGAATCACAGTGAGGAACTTGCAGTGCTCAATGAAGAGCCTAAGCTAACAAACAGTGCATTCTGGTTCATGTGGGATGAGTGTGGATGGATAAGCATCCCTTGAGGTAGGAAGGGCCAGAGTCATACTAGGCTGAGCAATTTTTATTCAATCACAGTTTGAAGAGCTAAACTTAAATTTAAGCAAAAGTAGGTAAGTGAGAAATTAAAGACTTTAAGTGGCATCAGCCTTTTTTTTTTTTTTTTTTGAAGCTATGTATAGAAGAAAAGAAAACAAAAGGCTCCAGCTTTATCTCCTTCCCTAAAGCCAGCCAATGGAAATAGATGGGAATAAAGATCACAATTACAGTGACGAGACTTCAGTTATATGGAACCCATTTAACCATAATCTCCAATCACGCGCTTGATTTTTGTCTTGCTCCTTTTACACCGAAAATATTCCTACAAGCTGAAGCACAACTTGGTTAAAGCCATGCTTCTTTGAAATAGTCTCCATTTAGCAGAGAACTTTAAGAATGGAAGTCTGAGGTAGCACTGCAGGGACTGTTGATTGTGCTCAAAAGCTCTGCTCACAGCTCAGTTTTTGTTTCTTTTCCAAAATGATAGGAAATGTCTAAGAACATCTAACTGTGGCGACGGTCAGAAGACCCATCCATTCCTGTTCTCTCTCCTCATCTGTTAGAGTACAGGAATGGATGGGATTTTAGGTAGCATCAGCAAGTCCTGTTTTAGTTAAGCTACTGTCTCTTTATCATGGCAAACTTCTACAACTCTTTTCAAAGGTTTTACTACAAGTTCAGTTTTGAAAGCTCTGTCTTCATGAGGAAGGCAGAGAGGGAGGAACTCAGAAAAGCAGCATGTTTGTTGGGGTAAGCTTCCTCTGTGAGTTCTGATTATGTTACACAGTTTAACTGACCTTTGCGTTTGTGCCTGGGGTGGTAATGAGCTGACTACTGTGAAGAGAAGATGAGAGCCTATCTGCTGTGGCACACTGCTGCTATATCCTTTAAAGACCAATGTTGGCTTTGTGGAATTTTTTTTAAACACTCTTATTGATTCTACATATATTACAAACATTTTTATACTACATATATTTGCAAACAGAAATGGTGTTAACAATGGAATGTGTTCTGCATCTGAAAATAAGTCTAGTGTATACAGTTGGTGAACTTCCTTACCTTTAGCACAGATGCAATCACAAAGACGGATTCACAGTCAAGGTGGACTTCAATTCCAGAATTCAGTTTCTCTTTTAGCTCTCTACAGGATTTCACATTGGCTGACTGCCTGAAGATGCCTTTTGTGAGAGGGCCTTTTTGGTTAAGGAAGGAAAGCATATCCTATGAGGAAGCAAAGGGGGTAAACGAGATTGATGTTTTACCTGCACAAGCACAGCAGCAGGCACTGCCTTCAGCAGCTGCCAGAAGGCCAGGGTGTGTATGCGCTGAAGGACTGGAGCAGGATGGATGGCTAGAAGGATTCAAATCATGTTTTAGAACATAGAGTGGCTATAACCCAGAGGCCAGGGAGAAATAGTACCTGGTCCAAGAAAAAGTAAGTGTTCATGATTTTACAGTATAGCCTGGTGACTGTGGTTAATAAGAGAATATAGTCCTAACTGAGAGAATAGGTTTTAAGTGTACTCCAATTTTGCTTTCTATTTGTATGTTTTCTGCATTCTGTGTGGAGACAAACAACCCACGAGATCAGTAAGCGAGTTATGCCCCTGATTTCCTGTGCAATCTGGGCTAGGACCTGAGTTTACTTTTGAATTTATAGAGTAAAAGTGATGATAACTTTACTGTGGAGGAGAAACGAGAGAAACGAGATAATAAGAAACGAGATAATAAAACATCTGACATAGTGCCTGGCGTTTATGGATGTCCAACAGAGCACGAGACTCCGGAGTGCAGTGGATTAGACTACTTGGGGGATAATGGACACTGAACAAATCTTGCTTTGTAGTCACTCTCCCATCTTCCTGTTGGAGATAATTCAGTAGTGACTATTTTATCTACCAGTTAGATATAATTCAAACTCAGCAGTTATTTTCTGTCCCATTCTATTGACAAACAACTAAATACCAGAGAATATATCTTGATGTTAAACATATGAGATATAGAGGAACTCATGTTTAAAACCTTACAAAGCAATAGGATGGTGCTTTCCAAACAACAGAGTTGGAGAATGGATCTGTGCATTTTCTGATGACATGGTAAACCAATTTATTTGAGTGGGTTTCTATTGCTATCTTGAAACAAGAGGACTACATTGTCTATTTTAACTACTTTAACATCTTCCTCAAGATTCTACAATGATTAAATCTGACTTTGAAGTTTTGAAGATTTTTAGCTAAAGCCAGGGGGTTATTTATGAACTTTCCATTTTGGGACTGACTTACCTGCAGCATTTCCCCTTCACTAACTCCTTTCCCACTAGTTTATAGACCCAGAATGACACTTACCAAGATAGGTTTTGGCAGATTGTCATTCTCACAAATATCTGGTAAAGAAACTCCAAAGAGCTGTCCTGGCATAGGGGATGTTGGTGACACAGGCAGGTTGTCCAGGTGAGTGCTGGAACCCCGCCAGAATGCCCAGTTGATGATAGAGCGCCTCCTTTTAAATGTCTTCTGGCCAGAATCTGAGAAGGGAGATCAGGAGGAAAATTTGTGATTCATCCAGTCTTATTTCTATAAGTTTGTTTTATAGTTTATTCATCACACTATCTCAGAGAAGTGTTCATTGGTGGGGGGTGTCCCTTGTTAGCTATGAAGATCTGTTGTAAATATTTGGCAAATTAAGAAAGAATTGGCTTCTTCCCATTCATGGGACAGATCATTGGATTGCTCACTTGAGTTTTGATACTAAAATTTAAACTACAGAGAAGTTATATTTCTTAGGCTGGAGATGTAGTTCAGTGTTGAGTAACTGTCATGCACAAGGCTGTGGGTTCCATGCCTAACACTGTACAAGAAAGAAACAAAAAAAAAAAAAAAAAAAAAACAAACAAACAAAAAAAAAACACTTCTCTCTCATTGAGCTGTAACAACTTAAAGCAGAAAGGACATCAACACATAATACTTATAAATTTTAAAGACAAGACAGGCATATAAAAAAGCTGAAGAGTGAATTAGGTTACAATTAAAAAGGAGATAAAGAAAAGGAGAGTAAAAGGCAGAGGAATCATTTTAACGGTTGGTTTATTTGTTTTGAGACAGTTTCTTTATATTGCCTTAGGGGCCTGTCCCAGAACTCACTCTGTAGATCAGGCTGCCCTCGAATTCAGAGATCCACCTGCCTCTGCCTCCTGAGTGCTGGGATTGAAGGCGTGGGTCACCAACGCCTGGCCTTTTACTCTTTTTCTAAGAACAAAGAATGCTTTGTGATTGGATGTCTCATAACTGGGACAGAGACAGGAAGCTGCTGTCTTACATTTGCTTGCCTTCTCAGTAACTGCAAAATTTCTAATCTATCTTTTTCAATACACAATTTCAAAAATTGTGTTTAAGTCAGCAATGGATGCAGACTAGTGAGACCCGGCAGGCCCCAGGGTGGTGGTGTGGAAATGTCTACAGACAAACCTGTTTGGGTTGGCTGGAAGACCTAGGGATTTAAGACAGAGGCAGTCATAGCCAGTTAGTGACAGGTGAAGGTGAATATCAGAAATGAGAAAAACAGAGCCGGAGCCACACATAAAACCTACAAAGTTTCACAGAACTCAGATCTGAAGACCCTTTACACTCATTCACTGCCAGACTCCAGGGAGAGAGCACAAGAGCTGGTCACAGGGAACTGGTCACTGAACTCCTGCTTAAGGCATTTCTATTCATACATGATTCTCTGCTGGCCAGCACTGGCTAATAACAGAATATGGACAGCAGATAATCCAAGAAGACATGGTCAGCAGTGTCTAATTTCAAAGAACCTCTTGTATCATTTGACTGTAAAATAGCATTTTCTTTCTTTTTTTTTTTTTTTCCAAATAATCTATATGAAACAAGTCAAATTGTGGGATGATGAACTTTACTGAACAGCTTCTTGACTATGGGCCATCACCCATAACTTAAATCTTCCTTATGCTACTGCAAATAGGAAATGTAATGAGGTATGAAGTGCTCTTGACAATGGAGCCAGGAGCCTATTTCAAACTACTGGTTCACACACCCATTTAGACTTTCCTATTTCCTTAACTTTAATAGAAAGAGATGTTAGATATCTGTCAAAGACCCATTGAGAGGAATATTAGACTAATTTTGAACAAGAATTTCCCTAGGGCATAATTATGGGCTCTCTGTTAAAGCTACTGTGATACCAGGCTCTTTCTGGCAGAGAACATCTCTTGGTACCCATTTTCCATGGGCTTAACAGCTATCAGGAATATGCAGACATAAAAGAATATCATTACTCTGCTCAACTGTAGTGCTCTCTTCCTTCCTTGATCTTTCTAACTTCTGTTCCAAACAAAAACAAAACAGAGAAAAACAGAAAAGGAAAGCAATTCTTCCTTAAATCCAGGAAGGAATTTGCCTACCAACCTGTGCAAATGTCTATAGAGGAGTGAATGCTAATATGCATGTTGAGTAGTTTTCGGTCTGATTTGTAACATTTTTACCTATTCTAAAACTGTCAATTTGATGTCTAGCTGTCACATACTTGAGAATGTTCTGTCACCTTCTATCACCAAGTCACATACCCAATTGTCCTATGAATGTAGACAGAAGATAAAGTCAAAATTGAGTCATGCATCTAAATATTTCCAGTGACAGTCATCCTGTTGTGCATAACATTTAGTGTGAGAATCCAGGTTCCCTAGGACTGAGGGGAAAATTGATAGAAACTTCCTTTTGCAGGATTTAGTGTACACTCTTCTTTCTAAACGATGAAGGCTGACAAAAGATGCTATTGCCATAAACACACACACACACACACACACACACACACACACACACACACACACACACACGGACAACATAAATATACAGTGAACATTCTTTTCATGTTTACATTATAAAGCTCAATACTAAAGACATTAATTCATACAACTTTAAAATGTGGAGCCCAAAAGTTTAACTAATCCTCTTTGGGCCATACAACTAAGCCCCCCCCCCCACAAGGGTAGCATATTCACATTCGGGACAGTAGACTGACAGGCTCCAAAGGTGTCCCATGTTTCGCCATCTTCTATAAAGCTCAGTTCACCTTCAGGGTAGCCCTGGGTCTGAGCAAATGTGGGAAGGGGCCGGCAGTACCACTGCTTCAGTTTGGGCTAGAGTATGGACAGTTCCTTCAGACCATACCCTGAGACCCTACTTTCCACCCTAACTGCTCACCACAGTGTCTCCATTCTAGGTGTAACTAAGCCTCAATCTCATGATCATGATCAAGTCCAGGCTAGACTTGAATCCTTAACAATCGTACCTCAGTTTCCTAAGAAGGAGATATTTTCCTTAACTAGAGGAAGCCTCTCTCAGAAATGCAGATGAGGAGTTTTGTCTGTCTAATTATGACTTCCTGGATAAAGTAAGTATAAAATATTAACAGAAAGAAGTTATTTATCTTTGTTATCTCCTCATTGACCTTATGAATAGTGTTATGCACAAGAAACCATGGTAATATACCTAGTCCCTAGGACTAAGCAATTCAAGAATTGGAATTTTGTGGATTTAAAAGGCACAGAATAAGTTACATCATGTATACTGGCTACATATGGGCCAATTCTCTACACTGACAACATACGCTGTAAAAGTATAAGACAGGCTGCCAGGCTGACACAAATGTGAGAAAGTAGAGACCGAATATTTTGTTTGACATGGTGTCCTACTCTGTAGTCCAGGCTTGCCTTGGACCTGAACCAATCCTGCCTGACCTTCTAGTTTCCTTTTAAGTTCTGGTTTACATTAGTGAGGAGTGAGGAGTTGGGCCCCAGCAGGTAGAGAGGAATGAGATGGAATATTTTGTGTATCACAGTGAAGCCATGAGGACTGAGAACAATATCCATGGTGGCGTGTTGGCTACACATTAAAGACAGCAACAGGAGCAGGGAGAATACTGACAACATGGCAACAGTCATGGTGGAAGGTAGTCTGTTTCATGAGGTGAACGCATGTTAATGGGTGCAGAGAGTAGGGCAGCCAGGTCTGGGACTAAGGAGCCTAAGTGTGGTTTTGTTCTCACGGTTCTACGCTTTGCAGTGCTACATGTAGCCTGAGGAAGCTCATCTTTTGACTGAGATAAGGAAGTATTAAAAAAAAAATGCTAAGTTCCAGGTAGAAATTGTTGGGTAACATGAATGTCATCACACAGGCCAACAAGGTCATCAAGTGTAGAATATCTAGATGCTTTTCTGTAACATTCTTAACTTGTAATTCTCCTGCCTCAGCATCCAGAGTGCTGGGATGACAGATGGCACAGGCACACCTGGCTCTGATCTAAAACCCTAAGTAGATTAGTGCTTAGATATAAAACTATCACGGAAAAGCCATTCTCAAGATAATGTGGAGCAGATACCCTGGTTCCAGCGATATTCATTCTTCTTTCTTTCTTCAAACTAACCTTTAATGCAAGAGCAAAGGACATTTCCACACTTCAAAATCCATGTAACTATGAAATGCTAAGGGCAACTGTTAAGAGAAGAATCTAATAAAATTTTACAGATGCCATTCAAGAGAGACATATGCACAACTACAATTATATACTTTTGTAATGGCATTAGTATTTAGCAATATTTAGCTGTGTGAAATGTTTTAAGATGGAATATAAAAATTCCATTTTAGATAGGAACATTTACATTCAACTTCTATGGTTAGATCAAGAACTTCAAATCTCAAATAAGCAAAATGATATGTCTCTCCCCACAAAATTTAATTCTTCTCATTGACAGACATTGTGCTTGCTAATAATTTTTTTATCATCCTCTATCAAATGGATTACATGCAGATAGGAAATTTCAGAATTTCACTGGCAATACTCACAGAAAAAGCCAGTGATTGCCTAAACAGCCCTTCATGGAAACAGCCCTTCTACTTGCACACACCCTAAACCTATATACAAAGTGTGTGAATGCTGCACTTGCTGTTGGTAGCTGCAGAGAAGGTGATCTGGGTGCCTTGGGAGCACGGGCTTTAGCTACTCTCTCCCTCACCTGTTTATCCTGAGCATAGAAGATGCAAGCACCATCTCACAAGCGAGACAAAACAAGAGAATGCAAGCCAATGGACAGAGCGGATACAACAACAACACACACCAACAGCAACCAAACAAAAAACCCCTTAGTAATTACTCCAATGAAAGAAAAAACATTTGAAAAACCACAAGTTCAAAAGCAGAGTTAGTATATTCTCCTTAGATTAGTTAGATTATTATGGCAATTTTAAATTCAGCTACTAAAATACCCATTAGCCTGGGCAGGCAGTTGGCAAGTGTTTACAGAGTACTTCAGATACTCCAGGTGCTAGAATAGATAGAGCAGTATCTAGCCGCTTTGTTTTAGTGGGTAAAATCAGTATCTGTAAAGCAGTACTATGTGCCCATACAGCCGTAGGATACCGGACTCAGTTTACTGTATGGGAGATAAGAATTTAAGTATGCTTGCACAGCTGGTGTTGGTGAAGTTGGGAACCCCCTGCTGTCTGATCTGCTGCTGACTGCAGCAAGGCATAGCACTGGGGGCCAGGTCATTAGCAGACAATGGCAGTGTTGATGGGTGTGTGGAGATGTGTATAAAACAGGTGATTCAGACTGCCCAGCCAGAATGAGTGCCTGTTTGAGGTAGATTATTAGAGATGCCAAGCTGCCCTTCGGCTGTATTTCTTTGAATTTCTTTGAAGTGTTCAGCAGTCATCTTGAGATGGGACTGTACCAGGTATTTAGTAAAGTGGGAAGGACAAAAGAGCTGAGGTCATCTGCAGGAGAGATGGTGATAACCGTGGAGTTTGGGTCATGTATGGATGGATACAGAAGCATGCAAGCACAAGCAGCGATAAGGTGAGAGTGGTAGACTCAGCAGGAGAGGGGAAGGAGGCACATGGGCTTACAGACAGAGAAAACATAATGACCAAAACCAAAGGCAACAACAGAACAGTTATACACCTTTTTAGTTCAATGAAACAACTGGGAATGAAAACTGAGTTTGCACCTGATGACTACAAGTATGTTAGAAACTTACAGGTGTGTTAGTATGAGAAAATTAAAGAATTTAAATGTATCAGAGGAGGTCCCAACTGATAAGACGTTGGCAATGAATATTAACACATAAAGCAAGACAAAATCTTTCATAATGAGTATTGACTTATCACTTCCAAGTATGGATAACTGAACACACATTATTATTATTTTTTTTCTTAAAGTAGGGTCATCCAGCCGTGAGGTCAGAAATGGAGTAAAATGAATGCTGCAGTAACTAGAACACAGATGAAGAATTTCATCTGGCACTCAGCTGATGCCAATAATCTGTCATGAGGAGGGAGGGTGGCCTCTGATCTCTCGAGGTCCATGCCTTCTCTTTAAATCTTTCTCCTTGAGTTTGTTCATCTGAAGGCGGCAATGTCATGATTCATTGGACCAGCTGACAAAGGCAGACATAGAAATGCAGTATCAATTTCCTATCACCCTTACACTTTTTGGTTTCAATTTTCTTTTGTTTCTTTATACAATCTTGCTTCAGAAGGAGAGCTTTAGTGCAAGCTTGGGTCAGGGCAAATTATAATGCTCTTCTGTTGAATATCATAGTTACCATAATACAGCCTTTATTATGGGGTAGCAATGAGACAGCTATGTTCACAGGGAATTCATGTTAGATTAGTAGGCTAAGGGAACACCCCGGTAGAAATCATATTAGACTTCATGTACTTATCAGGACCAAGATCCCGGTCAGGGCATCACAGTCTTCTGACACCCATCACGGACAGGCTCCCTTTTATAATGTGATCACTTAGGGGGAAACACACAGCAGAGTGTATTAACTGCACAAAGAAGGCATTGAAGCACCTGCAGCATCGCTGGAGCCTTTGACTGCAGTGGGCATAAGGTTAAAGGGGAAAGGCTGGAGAGGGGGAGAAGGGACAGATTATTGTCACTTGTTTCTGAGGGTTAGTCAGTAAAGCCTGTTGCTCAGTTTGTAGAACCAGCTTCCAAAATCTGTCTTTTCTTTGGGGAACTAATACTTGGGAGTTCTTCTGGGTGGAAGTTGGGCTTTTGACTTTGTGCTACATCTGTGTTCAGGAAGGCAAGCTTTTGCTGAAAGGAGGGTCTGTGAAGGAGGGGAAGCGACTCACCGCTCAGTTGCTGGGCCATCGCCAGGCGGCTGGGTTTCAAGATGAACTGGCATTGCATCTCTCGGGGCAGCTGTTCCATGAGGAAAGGCTCTTGGAGCTGGGACAGGGTGGCGGAGTCTTTTGATCCCTGTGTCAGAAGGGCAGTGTCTCGGAGATGGCTCATTTTAATTCCATAAGGATACTCATGTCCTATAAAGGAAAATCCAAATGCAGACTTGAGGCTGACTGAGTACCACCAGCAAGTGCTGCAAGCTGGAGTGTACAGTGATTTACACCTGGGACATCTGGGATAAAGAGTCCTTTTGTTCACTGGAAAATCCATGTGCCCAGTCGACAACAGGGGCCTCTGCACATTGCAGGTGGCTCTATCAAATCACAGTGGTTGTCTCACGACAGATGAATGGTGAGAGGAGGAAGAAAATCTTCAAAGAATCCTTAGAAGGACTGTAGACAGTTTATGAATTACACATTGCCCTTTTCTAGGTTTGCATCTAAGAATATTTGAGAGTATCTTATATTCTCCCTTGACACCAAAGGGTCTGTAAATCTTTAGTGATCTGTAATCTAAATCCATGTCGGACAATATTTACCTTGGCATCATGCAGGCACTATATATGGATCAAACAAGGAAAACACTAGTAGGTAACGTTATTTTTGAGAATAGGGACAAAGATGTCTATTTTGTAAGGATCACTACAACCCGGCAATGGAGTGGTGCATCCCCCATTCCATTGTTTGTGTTCACGAACACAAATTTAGTACAAAGGTGAGGTGGCTCATGCCTGAAATTCAACACTTGGGAAGCTGAGACAGGAGAATTATTGAGTCTAAGGGCAGCCTGGGTGCAATAGTAAGTACAAGACCGGACCTGGGCTACCTAGGCAGCTAAACAACCAGCACCACCCAAACCCCAAAAATTCTCCCAAAGATTCAACCTGACTATTATCTAGCCCATCTGTGTGGGAGATACTTTCTTCTTATTCTGTTAGTTGTACAATTACTTGTTCACTGTCCTGGTTTATCTCTGGTTTGCTTCTTCTTGAGACTGCTATTCATAGGCAACAGTCAAAGGAACTATATAGTAGGTTCAGAATACAAATACAACAACGATGTACAGACAAATTAGGGATACTAAATCTAGCACATCTGACCATAACTGGAATTTAGTTGGTTAAGACTCCAAGTAATTTCATTGCTGTGGTATAATTCTTCAATCTTGCCATGATATAGATCCTTCAAGTAAAGATAGTGAATGTAACTCAGCAAGCCCTTCTTTGGCACCTGACACAGGCATACAAGGAAAATGTGATACTGACATGTATACATTGTAGCAACCTTCAAATCCTAAGGCAAGACAGCCCCCATAACAGCAATACTGCAAAGCTAATCTATAAAAATGACCAGCTAATCCACACTACTTTGCAAACCATATTAGCAGAAATTTTAATTATAGAGTTTAGCTAGTAGCACTCAATGATGTCTAAAGTGGCTATGTGCCTAAAAGTCACCATCTACTTATTAAAATTATTTTAAATTTATTTTGTTTTAAAATAACATTTCATTATTTATTCACTTTTGCATAAATGACAGTATTTAAAAGCAAACCTATCTCTGTGAATCAGTTTTACCCTCAGCATGGCATAGCAGCTTCCTATTTCCTGCATATTAGAGTAGACAAACATTTCATAGAACACTTTGGTTTTAATTACTCAGACCACTTGAAATAATCAAGCATTCAAAAATGACCTCACTGACAAAGGACTACTCAAAATGATGTATACAATACACACTGCACAGTATTCCACAGGCAGAGGGTGTTTTAAACTTGCTAAAAACTTGTTGAGGTTATTGTTTTAGGATCTGCACCAGCATGAAATTACTAACCAATAAATATTTTCAAATAAACAGCTGAAATAAGCTAAGTTATAATCTCCTTATCATTAGTTCCTCAGAACAGTGGGGTTTTGAATTTCAGGCTAGCCTGGACTACATAGTGTCTCACAGGCAAAACAAACAAAAAACAAAACAAAACAAAATCCTAAAAACAAATGGAAATTTGGCTAGAGAACTAGTAAAGGGGATTACTAGTTGCTAAACTAGTCAGTGAAGACTTTTAGGAGTTAAAATGGTTAATGTCAAGACACTTTCTTTGTGAAGCTAAAGGAATTCTGGGACAGAGCAGATGTTAGATACTTAGGGATGGGTGACAATGTATCACTGTACCATACACAGTACTAGGTGTATAGAGGCAGCCTTGCCATTAGTGCAGGGGGTAGGAAAAAGAACAGGCAACTCAAGACTCTTCAAATCATCAAAAGGAATTTCAGTGCATACTGCTCTCTCAGAGAAGAAACCTCCAATAAAAGGCTTGGCAAGATATGCTCTTAAAGTGAGAAAGCCAAGAGGAAAATATATGTTTCCCAACTATAATCATCAGTAGCCCGAGAGAAAGGATCCCATTGTCTAGCTCATAGGAAACACTTGAGAGGCTTAAGATGGTAGAGCCAAAGGAAACATAGATGCTATCTTAGACTGACAGGCACTCACCAATAAGTGGGTATGGTGCTGCTTCTTTTCCAGAATTCACCCACAGCTGGTAATCTCTCTCCGAGCCCTTGAGATAAAGAAAAATCAGAACCTATCTTTCATGTTAGGCATTTGAATGAGGACAGAGTTTGGGCATTTTATGCTGTTTGGATTCATGAAGTACATATGGTTTGGGGTAGTAGTGCTTATTCCTACAGCTATATCCCATTCAAAATAGGATCCATCACTCTTGGTCCTCTCATGCCCATCCCCTGTGCTGACCTAGGATCCCACAAATTGCAGTGGAATCAGACCCTTCCTATCTGTGGTCCACAGAGTATAAAAGCCTAAGCAAGCCCTTACAAAGGAATAATATACTTTCTAAAGGGCTGCTCCTGACTTCTGAGATTCTCTAATGGTCTCAGAGAATACTGGAATTAGCTTCCAATGTGCCCCTGCAAGACAAACTTCTTACCTAGAAAACGGTAAACAGGGTTGTCTGTGAGACTAAATCAGGTAACAGAGACCAGTTTTTGGTTCAGGGTTTCTGAGCAGGAGAATGACCAAGAGGCTTTCTGGAGTTGCATTGATGCCAGTTTGAGCAACTCCATCCAGTTTAGGGGACAGAAAAGATAAGAATTCTAGCTAGAGAACAGGCCCAGTCATGGAAAACAAAAAACATTTAGTAATTTAAAATCCAACAATACTATAAATCCCACTTAAGAGAAATAATACTAAGTGGACTTTGCTGAATACTTCAGGAGGGACAAGGTAAAATTCTTATATGCAGCTAGAATAGAGATAGTCAAGTCTGTTGGAAGCATTTCATTGTTCTGCCTTTAATTTGCAACCAAGTTAGGGCCCTGGCCTTCTAATAGAAGGTACTGGCTTTGCACATACCATACACTGCTCCTGGACACAAGAAGTGCATGCACAAATAGATCATTTCTTTTCTATCTTGTCCTTTAGACAGAGGAGGAACAATCTAGTAAAAACAAATCTTAGGCAATGTCAGAAACATAAGTTACCTTATAGAATGGATGTAATAAAATAGGCTTAATTCCTAGTTATCTTTCTTTCCTTCCTTCCTTTCTTTCTTTCTTTTTTTTCTTTTTTTTTTTTTTTTTGATTTTTGTATGAGCAGATCAAACTTTAAAGGAGAAGTCCAAGAAAACTCATCATGAAATAGTTAATCTTCCTTCTTAATCTAAAACTGCACTCTCTTCTGTCATTTTTGTGTAGGTTAGAAATCAAGGTAAAAATACTTACTTTACTCAGTGCATATAAAATTAATTATTTTTAACTATATTAAATTTTACTAATCATATTTTTAAATTCCAAATTTTGGCTGCCTTGAGTCATTATGGTCTTAATACTAAAACAAGCAGTAATATGATGTCTTAAGTATATCATGTCACAATATAGTTTTTAAAATGTTATTACACTTATTGTGTGTGTGGACACACACATGCGAGCACACACACACATAAATAGTGTGCCAGCATACTTGTGGAGGTAAGAGGATTAACTTTAAGAGGTTAGTCCTCTCTTCCTACTCAGTGTGTCTTGTGGGTGGAACTCAGGCTATCAGGCTTGACAGCAAGCACCTTTACAGCTGAGCTATCTTGATGGCTTCTATCATAGTGTATTTAAAAAGGAAGCCCCACTGTGGTGATATATTGTTTATGATTTATTAAAGCTACTGGAGATCAAAATAACAAAGCAATTATACTAGTTAGCCATAGAAGCCAGGCATACAGCTTTAATCCCAGAATTCAGGATCAAGAGGTAGACAGATCTCTGCTAGTTCAAGGCTATATTGAGTTCAGGAAATTGATCCACTCCTAAAAGAAATAGCTCACATAAAGGCGATCTCAGCACTTGGGATCACACACCTTTAATCCCAGAACTAGGGAGGTAGAGATAGCAAGAAATGGCTGGGCAGAGAAAGGAATAGAAGGAGGAGGAGACAGGAATTCAGAGCCTTTTGCCTCTGAGGATTTGTAGAAACAGGATTGCCATTTCAGCTGGGTAGAGGTAAGATCTACTGACTTGGCTGCGTTGCTGCTCTAGTCGTCTGCTTGAACCCCAGTATCTGTCTTGAGGTCTTTAAATTTGTCGTGCTACACCCTACAGTTGACAGAGGAACTCTCTGTACGGTGCTAGCAGGAAGGCAAAGGGGGACTCTCCAGTTCTCCTCCCACGACCTCATTCTCAATATTTCAATTATTCCAATCATTTCCACTAACACCATTCACAAACTCACCCCAAAAAACCAAGGGTCAGGTTCAAAGCAAGGCCGAACAACATGGTAAGCTCAGTAATGTTCTTCAAATCTATGACAGAATTCAAAGCTGTGTTTTTATTTACTAATTCTTAAGAGGAGCCAGCTGTCATCCTTAGGACTTGAAGCCAGTCAATACAAAAACTGCATGACAGAAAAAACCCTTGGGAACCAGTAATCATCCAGAGACTGTGTCTTACAATAAAAACAGTATTACAAGATCAAGGAGGTGATGGTCGGTTGAATAGTGATAAGGGAGCAAAGGAAGTTACAACTTTTGTGTCTGTATGCAGGTCACATAATAAAAATGCACATTATTACTGTAAGATTCTAGTTTAACCCATTATGGTCTTAAGGGGTAAATGTAACTTGGTTATTGGTTGTATCATGATAGAAGGGATAATACTTAGTAAACTACAAATAAGTATAATTTTGAATACCAAAGTTTAAGAGAATATCTCAGGATATTGTTTATGACACATGTAATCACATGTTCAAGACCAACCTGGGCTACACAGCAAGACCATGTTATATAGAGAAAAAAAAGTCTAGCAGAAGTAACTTACAGTTATCCCTAACATTTGTAGTGACATGTTGATAACTTCATTCGCTGTGTCTGAATTCATTACTGTTATAGTTTTAAACTGTAAAGAAAAAAAATATAGACATAAATGAAGAGTTTAAAACTGAACAAATCATTGTCAGGTAATTATGCAAAGTTGAATGTTGATCTCACGTACGGGCACAGTGGAACACAAGCCCTCCGTTATGAACCACTTTTACTCTCTGATATGTTATGGCCATAAATAATCCACCCCTTTCTCTCAAAGGATGTGCTTCAGAAAGTGCCATGAGTGAGAGGATATGAACCTAACACATGGGTACACATGAACAAGGCTATTCCTTTGTTTCGTCTCTACAAGTGGTGCATATCCAGAATCCAGTGGGAAAAGCAATGGGCAGAACTGGACCTCATTCTCTCGAGTGCTGCTGGTGTATTGTGGGCTTCGTTTCTTTGCTGTGAGAAGCCGGGATGAGAACTGCTGCTTACTGAAGGGATTTCAGGGTAGTGAGTGAGAACTCCCTAAGTGTTTGGCACTGGAGTTACTGGGGTGTACAGTGCTGCAGTCCTTTGATGGCTTAAAATACTCCATGACAACATGGAAGGTCTTGGAAACTCATTCTGTCAACCAGATAGGGCCATCTACCCTAGTCCTCCCCACAGAAAGATAGTCTGTGACCAAGAGGAGAGAAACCAGTTAGAGCCTCAGTATCTGGAGACTGCATTGGGCTCCAAGAGACTCTCATACAATGCATGCTATTGAAAATTAACTCAGCCTCACACCTAAGTACATATGATCACTATTAGAACAACTAGAAAATAGTGCTCTGCCCTTTGACACAGGGTTTACTTACATGGTACAATGAACAAGTCTTTAGAAAAGCATGCACACAGATTTCATGAGTTTTGTTTATTCCTAAGGACTACACCAAAGTGTCTCAGAGAACAAAAGGGAGGACTGGGAAGGCCCAATGTCTGGTATCTATCTACCAGAGTGGCATTAAAAACTGTTCAAAGCAGATTTTAGTCTAAAACAGGCTTTTAGAAGAGGCTCTTCTGCCCACCCTGCCCCTCTAGGTATGAAAGTCCATCCATTCAATTTAAGAGACTCTGCCAAAAATTCTCTTGTAGCAAAGTGCCCATGTTCCCAAATAGCTGTGTAGGCAATTATTTTCCCACTGGACACATGTATACTCAGTACTGTAGTTACAAAAGTCTATCTCTTCCTGCAAGCCTTTCTGGGGGACAGAACAAATGAGTTTCAGCATGAAGTACTTTCTTTCCTAGGGAAATATGAAACAGACAAAACTAAATGTGTTGAGTTTAGCAGAATTCATCAACAAGATACCTACAACTGAAGGCTAAGAATAAAAGCACAGCTTCCACGGGCACATCCCTATTGGGGTTCAGTCTGGAAGCACTGGTCCCTGACAGAGACACAGGGAAAAACTTGAGTGTGTCCCTTTACCTTGACTTACACATGACTGCATCTCTTATTTCTTCTTCCAAAATGAGTGAGGCATCAGTTTCTTTAAACATGTATTTTCCTTACTTAGTTGTAATAAAAATTGGAACATTTTTAATGTAACCAACCATATCAAAGCAAGCAGAATCACACTAGGGTTTTTGTTTGTTCTGTCTTTCACTCCCTCCTATTTTACTGGAGATCTGGGAGTTTCGTAGCCTAAAAAAATTTGAGTATTTTAAGCAGTGAGATCTGGCTTTTAGGAGTTGGTCAGCATGTTAAACTTTTTTCTTAAACAAAATTCTCACGAACTGCTTCCACATGCACACAGGAACTGTGACCAAGAGCTGCTGTGTAGTAAATATTATAGTCTACAATATCATGAGAATACAAGTTCCCATTGTTCAGGATTGATAATGGTTTGTTTGGCTCTTTTGTAACAATTTTAGCCCACAAGAAATACATAACTGAGGCTAAAATCTTGATGTTTATCATGGTGATCCTTAGATAATCTCAGGGATTTAATTCTTAATTCTTATGAATTCAGAGTGAGTTTTCAAAAACCTCCCAAGTGAGGTGGCAAGTTGGGAAGAACTATGTTAACAACAAATGCCTCCTAGGAGTCACTACAAGCTTCAGCAACTGCTCCTGAGAGGGTCCAGACAAATCGTCATGCCACATGAAAAGATGTCTGACAAGCAATGCTCTAGCCAAGAGAAAATGTTAAATATTGCAGCCAATGTGAATTTCCCCTGCTTCATTCTCTCTAGCATTTGTTTTTTTAGCATTTGCTTTTTCATGCATATAAAGACACACCCCTACCACGGTACCTCCAAATGTCTGCCTTTTGTAGCACACACTGGCTGTCAGCCTGCCTGCCTCTTTTTTTCACCCACAATATTTTGTACCTTGTGAAGGGAGCTGGAAATTAATTTTCTGGCTCAAGAGACACTTACATAAGCACAATTCCCAATGTCCTTAGCGAAGATTTTGAGGGGAATGCTCTTTGGGTAGTCCTTCTCTTTTTCTAGAGTGATGTATCTAGTCAAATGCAACAATAATCCAAAAGAACAGTGAGTCAGATGAGATTTACTAATTGTTCATTAAAAAAAAATCAACCTATTTTGATAATATTGTCAATATACTTATATGCTCTTTTGTTTGGGTGGGGAGGACACATGAAAGATTCAGCACAATCAGATTATATGATAGGTTGAAAGAGAGTTTTCCCCAGGTCATTAGGCATGGGCCCCCCAAAACACTGGGACATCCATGTCAAGTGGTGTTGAAGGTGAGGCCAGGTTAACGTACCTATGAATGATGGTTTGTCCATACAGCCTCTGTCTGCTCTGAACAGGTTTCCAGCTTACTGGGGAGTACCTGACTACATACTACTACTGTACAATGAATTTACTTCTCACTTAGCTAGTTGCCTGGCATGGGGTAAATCTTGATTATCCCATGTGATGGAGGGAAGAACTTTGCCTCTAACTGATAAACCCAGGCTGACCGTTTTATTTGGTATAGTCAATGGTAGGGATAATTACCAATTTTTGAGGTTTGCAATTATGGGGACTTAAAATGCACTTTGAAGAAATGACCATCTCTGATTGGTAGCTGGAAGACATCAGTGATTCATTTCTTTCTAATGTGATCTAATCTAATGTGAACCTGGTGTTCCCCTTCTTAGAAAGAAGTCCTTGTACCCACAGAATTTTATTTACAGTACATTCTAGCTGGTGTACAATGCAAGCAATAAGTTATCTTGCAGGTAAATGTCAATTTCTATTAAGAAGAAGGGTTTAGTTTTAACCACAGGCTAATAATATTAAAAATATATGTAATAAAAATTACCTCTGAAGGAGAGAGAGCCACTTGTCCTTTTGTTCTGGAGAGCTACAATCAAAGAAAATGGGAGAGAAGTAAACCAGTAAAATATTGATGCCAACATTTTAAAGTCTGCCAATTCAGGTTACTATATCAACAGCCTGCTGTTATAAATGTAGCTGTACATATATGCTGTGAGCTTCATACAACCACTTAGAAGATGCTAGAGGTGCATCAGTCCCCTGGGAAGATCACATAGTTCAGGATAGCTTTGTTATATCCATTTACATGGATCCAGGGCAGATGCCTTTTAAAACACCACTACTCTTTCAACAATGCTGGAAGGGTAGGGGGCTTGTTGGTAGAAAGAATATCTGTGCTGGAAATGAAACATCTGCTCTCAAAATGGTATGCATGTGAGATCACCATAGGCAAGCCATTTATCTGAAGCCTCCATCTTCATACCTGTAAACTTGGATTATTCTCTTAAGTTGTCATTCATAAAAATAGAAAGTATGCTTAATATTGAGATCAATGCAAGATTTGGCAGGTAGATGGAAATGTCTTGGCCCAGAAACAAGTATGTCAGAAAACATTTTTTTTTAAATCTTATATGCACAAGGCAAAATAGTAATTTAGTATTCAAAAACTTTATTTTTGATTACTAAAACCTTTTGATTAATATATGAGTATATTTCTACTGCCATAAGTCCATCAGTCACAAACTTTAAAAATATTTCTAGTATGGCGGTTCCTCAGGAAAATGGGCATCAGTCTACCTCAAGATCAAGCAATTCTACTCTTAATAAGGACCCCACCTGGATGGCATTGCCCTACATGTGGGATGGGAGGGGAGGGTGGTCAGTGTGCATGTGAGGGGGCAGATAGGGAGGGAGGGAAGAAGAGGGAACTGGGATCGACATGTAAAGTAATATATAAAAGAAAAAATAAGGACATTTGTTCAACTATGTTCACAGCAGTATTATTTGTAATAACCAGACCTGGAGGCAACCTAGATGCCCCTCAACTGATGAATGGACAAAGAATGGACATTTACACATTAGGGTACTACTCAGCAGGAAAAAAAAAAAACAACAACAATGGAATCTTAACATTGGAAGGCAAATGGATGGAACTAGAAGAAACAATCCTGAGTGATGTAACCCAGTCACAAAAAGACAAACATGGTATGTACTCACTCATATATGGATTTTAGACATAGAGCAAAGGATCACCAGCCTACAATCCACACCACCAGAGAAGCTAGGAAACAAGGAGGATCCAAAGTCCCCCTGAGAAGAGGAAAGGGACAAGATCTCCTGAGTAATTTGGGATGAGGGGGAGATGGAGTTAAAAGAAAGAGAAGGAGAGAAGAGGAGGGGGAAGGAAGACATGAGGGACTGGGAAGATTGAGTGGGGGGGGGGAAGAATAGAGAAGAACAAAAAAAAAAAAAAAAAAAAAAAAAAGAGCCATTATGGTTTAAAGAGAAATCTGGCACTAGGGCAATGTCCAGAGACTGACAAGGATGACCCCAACTAAGAATCCGAGCAATAGTGGAGAGGCTACCTTAAATGCCCTTCCCCAATAATGAGATTGATGGCTACCTTATATGCCATCCTAGAGCCTTCATCCAGTAGCTGATGGAAGCAGAAACAGCTAAATACTAGCAGAACTCCTGGAATCCAGTTGCAGAGAGGGAGAAGTGATGAGCAAAGGGGTCAAGACCAGGGTGGAGAAACCCACAGAAACAGCTGACCTGAACAATGAGGAGCTCATGGACCCCAGACTAATAGCTTGGAAACCAGCATAGGACGGAACCAGACTCCCTGCATGTAGGTGTCAGTTAGGAGGCCTGGGCAGTCTCAGGGGCCTCTGGTAGAACAGTATTTATCCCTAGTGTACGAATGGACTTTGGGAGCCCATTCCCCATATAGGGTTACTCTTTCAGCCTACACACAGGGAGGACCTAGGCCCTACTCCAAATGATATGACAGACTTTGAAGACTGCCCATGGGAAGGGGGTGTTTAATATCATTTGTAATTTATTTTAACTTTATATCTTAACTCTTCATAGAAGCAATCTGCCAGCGTTGGCAATCAGATGGTATATTGTGCATTATTTTAGCATGGAACACAACATTTTCATAGTTGACAATCTTAAAGTTTTTCATTAAAAATCTTTGTATATATCCCACATGTATGTGAGTGCCCACAGAGGCTCAGAAAGGCTGTTGGATCCCCTGGGTCTGGAGTTACAGACAGTTGTAAGCTGTCTGATGTGGGTACTGGGGACTGAACTCGGGTCCTCTAAGAGAGCAGTAAGTGTTCTTCACCATGGAGTAATCGCTTTAGCCCCTTGTTTTGTGTAACCTCCTCCAATAGATTTTCTAGTTTCAGTTATATAAAATCCTGATTTAGAAAAAAGTATTCTATCACCCACATTATGAAATAAAAAGTTCTCTTTCACCCCATTTTTCCAATGGCAGAGGAGGGACTTTGCTCCTTTGGGTAGGCTTTGTAAATGCTATGGTGAGTGGGAACTACTTTGCGTCTTCTTTCATTTCAGTGCTCATGGCTGAGAGACTGAATTTTAGTTACTTGGTACTATGGCAAGCTAAAGTCTTCAAAAACGGGGTGCTGGGGTACACTGTGCCTTCTTCCCGGCAGTCTCTGCCCAACTCTCATTGTTCTCCAGAGCCTTCAAGTATTGCTGAATTGTAAGCAGTTATCTACAGGGCAGGCAGTTAGAACTTCTAAAGTATCTTTTTAAAAAAGTAAGTTATTAATTTGAAAACATTTTGTTTCCAGAAAACAGTACATTCCTGAATTTTCTCAGCCAGGTGCAGCTTCTTATGGTCTCTCATGGTTACAGCCCAGCTGTCTAAACCAGGAAAAAACCATGTTTACCAAACTCTTGACTGTTCTTTCAGATTTCATCGATTCTTCTGGAACCAACTTGGGGCCACACATCACACTGAGAGACAGTGCCTCCTGAGGAAAGGTCTATAGTGATTTCCTAGTCGTTCCTATTTCTGTGTTTACTTGGGCTGTTTTGGGGAGGAATGGAAAGGGAATCTATAGACTTTTCCTCACATTGACAGATGTTTACGGTTCAGTAAGATGTGTAGGCTTTCTGTGTGTGGGGGGAGGAGGGATGTGATGAATACTATAGAAGGAATTGCTCTTTTCAAATTATATTGAGATTTACATGACATTACTGGGAATATTGGCCTTCATCGTGTGGTGAAAGAGCCATGCTTTGTGTCAGTAAAATGGCCCCATGGTTCACCCCTCCTACAGAGTGGAGATTCTTAGAATACATGGTCACCTTCCTGTGAAACTGCTTCCTTTCTCCAAGCTTAGACCTCTGTCATGGAAAGGAAGAAGTACAGAGAATGACACAAGAATGTGCTTCTGCTAAACAAGTCCTTCAAATCCCGAACAGGTCAGCAGTGCACAACAGAAAGGAATGGTGTGCCCACTCCTCATCCACAGAGGAACAGTCTCTGGAAAAGTGAGCAGTCAGCTTCAGAAGGATGCCTGAGTAGTTTGGTGACAAAGCAGGAAGAGAAGCAGACTGAAAAGCTTCGTGTGTGTGTGTGTGTGTGTGTGTGTGTGTGTTGAACACTAAGCTCCTAAAATGGAAATCAATACTGGAGCTGTGGTGCAGCTGTTCACAATCACAGGTATGAGTTTTCATTAGCTCACCCCAAGGCAGAGCCAAACAACCTTACTCAGGCTGGAAGACACACATGCCAGCCCGGGAGTGAGGCTTGGGAAACTAATTCACTCTCTCTAACATGGCAAATATGCTTATGGCAGCTCTAGAGGTAGCAAATCAGAACTTAGCACACCAAAGTATTTTGACACATTATCTGTGTCACACAAAGCTATTAAAAAACACACACAAAACAAAACAGAGTAAACAAGTCATTCAAAACTATCCATTATGCAAACTTCATTGTGCTAATTTGTGAACTGCTTCGGTGAAGGAATTTTTATCGAGGTTTGAAAGGACTCATTGGGCTCGAGGTCTCAGTATTTCAAACATATTTCCTAGACATTAAGAAGGGGAGGTTCCTAGATGGTTCATACAGTTCTGCTTCCACAATTCCAAAAATTCTCTCCCTTCAAGCTCTCTTCACGGAATTTTTTTTTTTTTAAAGCCACCATCTAATCCAAGGTAAATTAGTCCTCAGTATTTATCACTAATTTTTATGTATTTTACTCAAATAGCCTTTATAAAGTTAGCCATTTGAGACCTTTCATTGGCAAAGGAAGAATTACTCAATATATAGTCACAGCAGAGTATTTTCCTTAAAAAACTAGGCATGAAATTGGTAAAACCGTTTCTCTTTGTTCTAGAAGTTGTCCTAGTATCTGACTGAAATAAACCTAAGGACAAGCCGTGGTTCTTACCTGAAAGTGGCCACAAAGTTCACTGTGGGCCAGCCCAGGACAAAAGACTTCAGAGTGTTCGTGTTGCCTTCTCCCACCTCATCCACACAGCTTGCTGTCCACATGTCAGTTAACTTTATTTTATTTTTTATCTTAAAATTGTTGTTATATCTAGTGAAATAGAAACCAAAATGGGTGCTCTTGTTATTTTGTTTCTTGAGTTTTACGGGAGGTTCTGTATTTGTTATGGGAGGGCAAAGAATCTCTTATTGTCCCTATGTCTTGTCCTTGGAACAACATGGATAGTTATTTAGGACTTTTGCAACAGTAGGCAAACTTAGCTCTCTCTTGCCTGCATTAATGGAAGCAAATATATATAAAGTGACTTTTTATATATGTTGATTAAAGTACTCCCATCTTAGATACTGAAAATTATAGTGAGATATCAACCACACCCGTTTGGGCTAGGTCTAGGGACCCTGACCCCAACTCGCTCTCTTGCTTCCTGGTCAGGTTGGAGAGAGCGTCCAGGTGGCATCCATGGAGTGGGGGACCCGAGGCGGTCATCTGTTTCCTGTGTAAATTAATTCTTCCCAAATAAACCTCACTTAACCTATACTGAGTCCAGTGAATCTTAATTCCCACAATTAGGAAATGAGTCTGGAATCAGAGAAACATTTATAATACATTTTCAAATAGAATGGTTATGACTGCTAGAAAAAAAAATAACTAAAAACACCACCACCACAAAACAGAGTAGGGCTAACACTATTAGCATTCAGCTCTGGAGACCTAGAAGGCAAGCTACCTTAAATCGGCTGTGATTGCTTTCTGGCAATTCCTAATCTCGCTTAGATTCTTGATACTGAAATACAATACATTTTGACTTAATCGACAGGTTTAATACTCATAATATAGATCTCAGGCTTACTGAGAAGGCATTGAACTATGAAGAGAATGCCCAGGGAAATGAATTTCCTACTATTCAGAACCATTTGAGTAAATAAAACCTGCAATGAGATTTATTCTATGAATAAGGACTTTGAAGGAGTGATGAGCAAAGGGACCAAGTCCCTTTGTTTCTACTCTTGCCTTTACTCCAAACCATTGTATATAATGAGTAAATATTTTTTAAAATATAAATGATATTATGGCATTCATCAACTGAAATTAAATTCCAAACTCCCTAGTGATTCCAAGCTTCTGAAGTGTCCCCCAGTACTCTCAGCTTCCTTATGCACCCTGTGAGGGTCTCTTCCATGCTGTACCCTTTGTCTGTGTGACCAATAAATAGTATAGGTCAGAAATGAGTGTCATCACCTTTGAACGAATTTTCATTATGAAGGAAGCAGGGAACCATGTTGTGAGAAGTAATATGAAAGAAAACCAGTAACAAGTGAGGAACTGATTTTCTAGTTTCCAAATGGATTGTCCAGTTCAGCCTCAGGGTCAGGAGGCTTGAGGCAGAGCCACCTACTGAAATAATCCCGATGCAATGCTTTGGAGGAGTTTGTTATTTAGCTCATCTTCTTCTCAAGGTCTTTAATGGCTAGCTGCTTTTCATCCTTTAATAATTCCTTACCTCATCTAAATGTACACAATGCACATCCTTAACTTTTACTTCCTACCTCAGCATCTAAGTTTTGTTCCTCACATTGGTCACTATCTGCAACTCTTCACACACACACACTGATGCAAACTGCCAGGTCACTTGCCATATGAAAGTAGGCTTTAGAGGAGTATGGCCTATACCATTCACATTCTTCCCTGCCCTCTCCTATGTTTCCTGAGGTCAAGGCACAAACAGGACCCTGAACTAACACTTTAATAAACAACTTTAAAAATCTAGGCACCTCACTTGAGATACTAACTAGAGGGACTGGGGAACTGTTTCAGTGATTAAGAGTACTGGTTGCTCTTCCAGAGGATCTAGCTTCAACTCCCAGCACCCACATGTTGGTTCATAACCATCTATAGCCCTAGTTCCAGAGGTTCTGATGCTCTCTTCTGGCTTTCATGGGCACTGCACACATGTGACAAAACATCCACATACATAGAAACATGAATAAAGTTTTAAAAATGATACTAGTCATTTAATACAGGCCAGCCATTCTTATAGTAAACACCTAGTGGAGGATGTGGTCTTTGTTAGAGAAAATTTAACTTTATACACAAGTTACTTACTTGATTTTGGCTGCAACAAACAAATCATTGAATAGGAAAAGATGCCTCTCCTGCCTCTGTAGGCCTCTTTTGAGTTCCACTGGACCATCAATCAGCAGAGTCCTACTGGAGCACATGAATGATGACAGAAATGCACACGTGTCAATGCTAGCAGAATGACTGTCTCTGAAACAGACCACATGCAACAAATCAGTCAGTCAAAAGCTCAACCACAAGGCAAGGTTTCTATAGGCATGGCTGACAGTTGTTTATGAAATATAGAACTCAAAGGGTTTTTGTTGTTTTAAAACAATGGTTCAATGTCATTTCAGGTCTTTCTATGGATTCATTAATTCATTTCCTTTTTTGGCATTTTAACATTAACTGCTTTGGGGTGTATCATTAACTAGAATATGATATTTAGGATTTGTCTCATAATTAAAATGTAGAACTTATACAGCAAAGAAATTCTTAAGATCAAGTCTTCAGAGCATATACACTAAGTTTTGACAAATGCTTAACTCTGAACTCCTAAACCAAGATGCGAAAAAGCATCACTCCAGAAGGTCATCTTCCTCCGTCATTATAGGGTTGCCATGTGTTGGTCCATGGGTGGTTTCATTCATCACTGCAGGTTGAGACTAATACAGAGTTCAAATTTTTATAGACTCAATAATGTAAAAATTATCCCCACAAGCACATTTTAGCCATTATTAGCCTGCCTGCTTTGCATAGCCAGCATCTGCTGGCTATTAAAGAGTCTTTGGTTATGAGAGCCCACATTGTGACAGAGTTCTCTACCGCTGCCATGTTCCCAGCAACACCAATTGCGCCCGTGGCTTCCAGACACTATCCTCCCCATCCTTTTTCCTAGGAGTTCCTCACCGTTTTCTGAATGGCAGCTTCTTGCCATAAGCCATGGTCATGCTGTGAAGACTTCTTCACAACCTTCAAATCAACCACAGATAATGAACAAATGGATAAGTGAGGCTGTGGCCTAGTAATACTCTACAAAAATAAAGCATACATAAATATAGTCTGTCTGGGCTATAGTTTGCTCTAAGCTCTGGTTTAAACATTTACTTCTAAAAGCTTAGAAATAAGAAACAATAGCCACAAACCTGAAACAACTCAGGAGCTATCATTATTTGCTTGAGGTTAGCCTAGGCCAAGGGTTAATGTACGTGACTTTTAAAATGTTTTACCTTTTAAAACAAAGGATTTCTACCCCTAATAAAAACTTTTAACTCATAATATACCTTCAAATATGAATTGGTGGCACTGTTGGTAAGAAACAACAAAGAAACATTTTTCTGTGTGACTTTAGCAACATGTAAGTCTGTAATTTTAAAGATTTGTATGTATATAACAGGAGATGCTTCAAGACCTTAGCAAGCTGAGCCTAGATAAAAATATTCATGTTGCAGTATATCTGAAGGAAAACAAAATCACTCAGCACTCACATAGTTAAAAACAACTTTAAGAGGACAAAACATAAGTTTTGTGTTTTTAAAACTATAATCTTAATGTTTTCTACTTAAAATCTTAGTTTGTTATAGTATAGAAGTTAGAGGAGTAAGATCACAGCCTTCTATTTAACTCTTAATATAGCCTGAATAAGATCTACCACTTACAATTGCCAGATCTCTAAACTGATGTAACAATTAAGTACTGAAAATGGTCTGAAAGTTAACCTGCTGAGACTCATGCACTAATGCACCATTTTCAAGAATTTATGAAGCTATTTCTAAATGGCAAAAAAGAATTTTAAGACCTAATTATTACGAAAACCAGATAACTTCCCTGAAACCTGGCCATAGTAACATTTCCTAATATTTGCTACTTGGATTGATGCTAAAAAAAAATACAAAACAAAAAGTTGACTGTTAGATAAAATTTAGAGAGATAGTTGCTTTATATTAGAGAGATAGTTGCTTTATATAAATCACACCATAAAGGAGTGACTGGGGAGACCCCTCAGGAGGTAAAGGGCTTGGGATGCAAATGTGAGCTTCTGAGTTTGAATCTCCAGAGCCACAATAAAGCTGGGTATGGTAGTACATATCTGTGCTCCCACAGAGAGATGGGGGCAGAGACGGGAGACTCCCAGATGCTGGCACTGCACAAGCAATCAACAAAGACCTTGGCTCAGGCAAGAAACCTGGTGTTGTCCTCTGATCCCCACACAGTGCTGTCTCATCTGTGCACTGCCCACTCACATGCCCAACATAAAGTACAGTAACACAAACAGAGCTCTTCTGGGAAATACATATGCTCATAAGAGATAATCAATACACTCAATAGGATCCATATGATCTCAAGTCTTGGTACACTAGTACCAAGTACAAAATTACTTTTCAGTAACTATTGAATGTAGTCTATTTTCTCAACAATTTGCTCTAACTCACAGCTCATTCCAAATGTCATGTCTCCCTCTAAAACATTCTCTTAAATCAGTCTTTGCTTGTCAGCTCTCACTTGGCTTAATTTCAGTTCTGTGCCTTCAATATTCTCACTTATTATGAAAACCATGTAATACATGTATAACAGTGTTAAAGTTTGCTTTGCTAGGTACCTGCCGTATTCAATCATGGAAGACAGATCTGGTCCTTGTCATCAAGAAGTTAGCAATTCAACAGAGGAATCAACAAGTAAACAATGAGAAACCAGTGCTGGGAGGAACTGAGGGCTAGCTAAGCCATGACCTTTATCTGAGACTGGATGGGTTAGGAAAGTTTCTTGGAAGACCCGATGGATGGGCAGACAGGTCAATAAACACCAAAGGGCACTCTAAGAAAAGGAAACGTGTAAATCAAGACCTTGTGTTCTAGTAACAGGGAAGTTCAGAAGGCATTGGATTATAAGACTGGGGAAGGACGTTATCCCATTTTATAAGGATCTTATTTAGACTTTACCTCAAACACTGCAGGCTTTTAGGCTGTGATTGTAATATAGTGACCAAAATGGAGAGGGAAACCTTTAGGAACCTGTCACAGCAAACTTAGGTAAGAAATGTTTCAACAATGAGAAAAAAAAGATGGGAAAAAACTACATTTAGGATTATTAAAAATATGCATTGTTAAAACTGTAATTAGTTGTAAGTATAAAATGAAAATAAAATGGACAAGAATACAAACCTATTGTCCAGTCTTTACTCACTTTTTTTGTTTGAACCTAGGGTCTTGTGCATGACAGGCAACAATTCTTCTGCCATCTGCTTACTCTGCCTTGAACTTGCCCTGACTCACAATCATTTCCTTTGAACCACACAGTGTTATCGAAAACATTACATTTTGCAATTTTTCATTTTCCTTCTCCACTACCTATGCAGTCTACTATATTTCAGGGACCCTAAAAAGTATTTAAATCAGTGATTTTTGCTTAATTTTGAGTTCTGTTAAAATTATGGCAAAACATTCAAAAATTTCGTATTTGTGTGTGTGTGTGTGTAGAGTATGTATGTGGGAGTTAGAAGCCAAAATCAGGCATTCCTTAAGAGATACTTGTGGGTTTTGTTTTGGTTTGTTTTTTTTTTTCTTTTCTTTTCTTTTTCTTTTTTTTTTTTTTGTCTCTCACTGGGAACTGGGCTCACCATACCTGGGAGCCCACCTATCAGACTGTTTGACTATCAGGCTCCAGGAATCCTATCTATACTGCTCCAGTTCTGGGATTATAAGCATGCCACATCATTTCCTGCCTTTTACATTAGTACTAGGTATCACACTCAGGTCCTCATGCCTGTGTGGCAAGTATTTTACTGACTGAACTCTTTCTGCAGCCCTTGCATTTTGATAATATAAAAATGTAAGAGTTATTAGTATTTACAATATGCACAATGTGCAACCATTAGCACTACCTAGTTCTTAAATATTTATATCATACCATGCTATATATGTTACTTCCTGTCTCCCTTCTTCAGGCCAGAATAAGAGTTTCAAGGTTCATATTGTAGCCTGTCAAGTGTTTTTTATTGCCACATGTTACACTGTATGGCTACTATAAAAATCATTTGCTGAGTTAGGAGGAAGAGGAGGAGAGAGGTGGACATGAGGGAGAAGGAAGACTGAGTCAGGGGAAGAATAGAGGAGAGCAAGAAAAGAAATACCGTAATGGAGGGAGACATTATGGTTTAAAGAGAAATCTGGCACTAGGGAAATGTCCAGAGATCTACAAAGATGACCCCAACTAAGAATCAGAGCAATAGTGGAAAAGCTACCTTAAATTCCCTTCCCCAATAATGAGATTGATAACTAACCTATATGCCATCCTAGAGCCTTCATCCAGTAGCTGATGAAAGCAGAAGTAGGCACCCACAGCTAAACACTGAGCCAAACTCCTGGAATCCAGTTAGAGAGAGGGAAGAGTGATGAGCAAAGGGGTCAAGACAAGGCTGGAGAAACCCACAGAAACAGCTGACCTGAAGAATGGGGAGCTCATGGACTCCAGTCTGATAGTTGGGAAACCAGCATATGACTGACCCAGACCCCCTGAATGTAGGTATCAGTTAAGAGGCCTGGGCAGTCTATGGGGCCTCTTGTAATGGATCAGTATTTGTCCCTAGTATACAAATGGACTTTGGGAGCCCATCCCACATAAAGGTATACTCTTTCAGCCTAGACACATGAAGGAGGGCCTAGGCTCTGCCCCAAACAATATGACAGACTTTGAAGATTCCCCATGGAAGGCCTCACTCTCCCTGGGGAGCAGAAAGGGGATAGGTTGGGGGTTGGGGGGAACAGGGGAGGACAGGAGGGTGTGGGAATTGGGACTGACATGTAAAACAAGATTGTTTCAAATTTAAACAGAAAAATTATCAAAAAAATCATTTGCTGAGGGATACTTCAGTTGTTTGAACCTTTCGGCAAGTGTGACTGATATCGCCATTTTCAGTACTGAGTATCCTGAAGAGCAGAAACACTGGATCAGATGTTAATTCTGTATTTAACTTATTGAAGAACCACCAGATTTCACCACAGTAGCTCCCACTTTACAATCCACCAGTGATGGATGATGGGCTCTCCTTATGTTTTAAGGTCATGTTAATGAAAAAATACTTTATATAGACCAGGGATTCATAAGCACTTCTGCAGTTTGTAATGGACACTTAACTGAACTACACTTTCTTGCTGACTCCTTTCTTCAATGTGCACTTAATATTTCTATCAGAATGAAGCTTCTAAATGCAC